CAAGTTTTATACCAATGAGTCAAATGCCAAATTTCCAGCCCCAAAGCCCTATTTTCAAGTGGGCATAGGGTTTCAGCAGACATTTCCCCAAAGATAAAGATACACCAATGGTCAGTAAGTATGTGGAAAGATGGTTACTACTGTTAGGGTCATGTAACTCCCTCCACAAGATACTACTTCAGCCGCACTAGCATGCCTTGGTCAACAAGCAGGATCACAGTGTGCAGTGATTTGAAGCCTTGTACACTGCTCATGGGAGCATGAAAGGTTTAGCCACTGTGGAGAAGTCAGCTAGCTCCTCCAGTTCTACCGAGTGATTTCACTTTTAGGAATACAGAAATGGAAACATCAACATAAGAGCTTGTATTGAATTTTTCACAGCAGCCTTGCGATAGCCAAAATGTGGAAAGAACCCAGTGTCCATCAGCTGATGGGTGGATAAATAAAATGTATGTTCATATAGTAGAATATTATTCAGCCATAAAAAGGAACAAAGTACTGATAAAAGCTTCTTGGATAAAGCTTGAAAACTTAAAGTAGAAAATACCAGAGCCAGTCAGATAGCTGAGCCGATTAAAACACCTGCTTAGGCAGGCGCAGTGACCAGTGTTTATCCCAGTGTGCAGTGTCAGCCCTGCCTCCAGGGCACACTGACATGCCTAAAACTGGCGACTAGGGATCCGGGGAGATAGCTCAGTAGAATAAGCGCCTTGCCTTGCAAGCGCAGGGTCCTGAGTTCAATCCCTGGTCCTGCAAAACAAATTTAAAAAATTTAAAAAGTGGTGACTAAAACTGGTGGCATGTGCCTGTAACCCCAGCACTTGGGAGGCTGAAAACAGTAGAATCACTACGAGTCCAGTCTGTATAGTGAGACCCTGTAAGAGCCTGTACTAAAATACATTTTTAAAAATGTAGAAAATACCAAATACAAAAAGGGCACATGCATGATTTAATCGATATGAAATGTGTAGAAAAAATGAGGGCCCGAGAGATGACTCAGTGGAATAAGCGCTTCCCTGGCAAGCGCAAGGGCCTGAGTTCAATCCCTGGTTCTGGGAAAAAAAAGAAAAAAAAAAAAAAAAGAAAAAAAAATGAACAGGTTATCTAGAGAAACAGCAAATGGAGCAAGCACTGCCAAAGCTGGAGGATCCTGAGGAAGTAGACAGTTCCTAGCTGGTACAGGTTTTCTCTTGGGGGTGATAAAATTGTTCTGGATTAAATGGTGGACATGTCTGTATAACCATGTAAAAATACTAAACACTTGTTAGTAAATTGTGTGGTATATGAGTCATATCACCAAAACAAAATAAAAAACAGGGCAAATTTGGCCTGTGAGCCATAATTTTCTAGCTCATGGTATGAAACAAATATTCAAGACATGCAAATTTATGAGAGTGGCAGGGATACAGCTCAGTGGCACTTGCCAGGACCTGGCAAGTACAAGGTCCTGAGTTTGATTCCAGGTACAAAAAAAAAAAAAAAGAAATTTACCAAACAGTGTCAGCATGATGTTGCATGGCTGTAACCCCAGCACCCTGGAGGCTGAGGCAAGAGGACTGCAGTGAGTTGAAGGCTAGTCTGGACTACGAAGTGAGACCCTATCAAAAAACACACAAATTCGGGGTCAGGGAGATGGCTCAGTGGAATAAGTGCTTCCTTGGCAAATGCAAGAGCCCTTGTTCAATCCCCGGTTCCACAAAAAAAAAAAAAGCCACACAAATTCATGAAAGGATT